CAAGTCAGCTGCTTCAAAAAACAGATGGTGTGTCTCCGCCTCCCTGATGGGAAGGTGACCACAGACCCAACGGAGATGAGGAAGCATGGAGTGGACTTTTATAAACTTGTTCAGGGCAGACGGCTGTGATGTTGACTCTGCTGCAGAGCTTCACCAGGGGCTTCCTCAACTGGATCCAGGAGATCAGGAGGCTCTGGGTTTGGATATACCTCTTGATGAACTGACTGCTGCTGTGTCTCAGATGGCGTCTGGCAAGGCTCCAGGAATAGATGGTTTTCCATCAGACTTTTGTAAATACTTCTGGACTATCATGGGACAGGACCTTCTGGACATTTTCAAAGAGTGTTTTATAAAAGAGACACTTCCAGCATCCTATAGGCGTGCAATTCTTTCTCTTCGGCCTAAGAAAGTAGATTTAGCCCTTTTAAAGAACTGGAGACCATTAGCTCTTTTGTGCACGGACTATAAGATTCTCTCCAAGGTCTTATCAAATAGATTGAAAACTGTTATTTACTTTTTAATTGGTGCAGATCAATCATACTGTGTACCGGATAGTTCCATGTTTGATCATTTATTCTCATTGAGAAATGCGTTTGATATTTGCAAAGTATATAACAATGTTGGTATCATATCTATTGACCAGGAGAAGGCTTTTGACCTTGTGGATAATGATTTTCTTTTTTCTACCTTACAGGCTTTTGGTGTTGTGGAGGGTTTTCTGTCTTGGGCAAAACTGCTGTATTGTGATGCTTGTTGTGTGGTGAAGTTGGGTGATGGGTTGAGTGTTCCTGTGCCAGTTAGGAGAGGGATCAGACAAGGCTGCCCCATCTCAGGCCAGCTTTACAGCATTGCCATTGAGCCTCTCCTCTGCAGGTTGAGGAGCAGGCTGCGGGGTCTCTCACTGCCAGAGCTGGCTCAGACGCCCCCTGTTGTTGTATCAGCATATGCTGATGATGTAAATGTATTTATTTGCAATCAGAGAGACATTCAAGAGTTAGAAGAAAGCCTTGTATGGAAAGTTTCCTTGCCAAGGTGAACTGGGGAAAAAGTGAGGCTTGTTTAGTGGGGGAGAGTGGTTGCGTGGGGAGCACTCCCTGTCTTCCTGGAAACCTTAGGTGGGGAAAAAGGGGTATAAAAAGCCTAGGAATTTTTCTAGGGAGTGAGGACTTTCAGAGGCAGAACTGGGAGACAGTGCTGGAAAAGGTAGAAGCCAGGTTGTCTAAATGGAAATGGTAGCTACCTCACCTGTGCTATAGGGGAAGAGCTCTGATAGTGAATAACCTGATTGCATCATCTCTGTGGCACAAGATCATCAGAATCAGAAGGAGCTTTAGTGCCAAGTAGTGTTTTACACATACGAGGAATGTGCTGTGGTGATTAGGTGCTACACGTAGACAAACATAGTCAACATAAATAAATGTAGAAATATATAAATATGGAATGGAAGAACAACATTGCAGATATACATGTGCATTATTCTGGGTCTGTGTCGTGCAGAAGTAACGCAACGGAAGAGAAAATTGCGTACATAAAAATATACAACAACAAAGATCAACAATCAACAACAAATATGTGCGACGTGCCAGGTCTGTGCACAACACGAGATGAAACGGTATTTACATGTGCAGAGACATTTGTATCATTTGCAAGGGGGAGTGTCATTAGGGACCCGGGCCTTGTTAATGAGGCTAGTTGCAGACGGGAAGAAACTGTTTTTGTGGCGAGAGGTTTTGGTCCTGATGGGCCGCAGCCTCCTGCCAGAGGGAAGAGTCTGAAACAGTTTGTGTCCGGGTTGGGAGGAGTCAGCTGCAATCTTTCCTGCTCGGCTCAGAGTCCTGGAGGCGTACAGGTTCTGAAGAGAAGGAAGATTGCAGCCAATCACCTTCTCTGCAGAGCGAATAATACGCTGCAGCCTGCCCTTGTCCCTGGCAGAGGCAGCAGCGTACCAGATTGTGATGGAGCAGGTGAGGATGGACTCAATGATGGCGGCGTAGAAGTGCACCATCATTGTCTTTGACAGGCTGAACTTCTTCAGCTGCCGCAGGAGGTACATCCTCTGCTGGGCCTGTTTGGAGAGGGAGGTGATGTTCAGCTCCCACTTGAGGTCCTGGGAGATGATGGTGCCCAGGAAGCGGAAGGAGTCTACAGTGGTGACTGGGGAGTCACACAGGATGATGGGGGAGGGTGGGGCTGTGCTCTTTCTGAAGTCCACGACCATCTCCACGGTCTTTAGAGCGTTGAGCTCCAGATTGTTCTGGCTGCACCAGGTCACCAGATGGTCAATCTCCCATCTGTAGGCAGATTCATCTCCACCTGAGATGAGCCCAATGAGGGTGGTGTCATCTGCAGACTTCAGAAGCTTGACAGACTGGTGCAGCTGTTGGTGTACAGGGAGAAGAGAAGGGAGGAAAGAACGCAGCCTTGAGGGGAACCGGTGCTGATGGTCCTGGAATCAGAGACATGTTTTCCCAGCTTCACGTGCTGCTTCCTGTCCGTCAGGAAGTCAGTGATCCACCTGCAGGTGGAGTCAGGCACGTTCAGCTGAGAGAGCTTGTCCTGCAGCAGGGCCGGGATGATGGTGTTAAAAGCCGAGCTGAAATCCACAAACAGGATCCTGGCGTAGGTTCCTGGGGAGTCCAGGTGCTGGAGGATGAAGTGAAGGGCCATGTTTATTGCATCATCTACAGACCTGTTGGCTCTGTAGGCGAACTGCAGGGGTCCAGGAGTGGGTCTGTAAGGCTTTTAGGTGGGACAACACAAGGCGTTCAAAGGACTTCATAACCACAGAGGTCAGGGCGATAGGTCTATAGTGGTTTAATCCAGTGGTCCTTGGTTTCTTGGGGACAGGGATGATGGTGGAGGCTTTGAAGAAGGCTGGCACATGGCATGTCTCCAGTGAGGTGTTAAAAATGTCTGTGAACACCGGAGACAGCTAATCAGCACAGTGCTTCAGGGTGGATGGGAGGCAGAGTCCGGCCCAGCTGCTTTGCGGGGTTTCTGCCTCCTGAAAAGACCGTTGACTTCCCTCTCTGTGATGGAGAGAGGAGGGGAGGGGGTGGAGCTGGCCAGTTCTGAGGAGGGAGGGGAAGAAGTGGTGGACTGAAGCTGAGCGGAGGAGTCACAGGGGATGGTGTCCGATGGACTCTTGGCAGTAGAACTGGTTCAGCTCATTTGCCAGATGAGAATCGTTTATGGAGTGGAGGACTTTGGGTTTGTTTGTGTTGGTGCCACCATCAGGCCTACTGGATGAAGTGCAGTGGCTCCTGGTAAATTTCTTCTGGTCCGGTCAACACTGGCTGAGGGCGTCGGTCTTGTATCTCCCTGTGATAGAGGGAGGACAAGGACTTGTAGACATTCTGTCCAGAACCGCGGCCTTCAGACTGCAGATGGCACAGAGGCTGCTGTATGGCTGCAGTCGCTGCTGGTTAGCTCCTGCTCGACTGCTTCTCAGGAACGCTGGCCGGCTTGGGCTGGATAAACAGCCCATCTGAAGTTGACCTGACTGGACTCACGCCCTTCTATGGCTCGGTGATTAATGCCTGGCAGACACTGACGGTCACACGAACTCCTGACCCTAGGCCAGGTATGTGAATCTATGAGGAGCCGCTGTTTAATAATAACTTCCTTAGAAACTCCACATTTTCCTTGGCTACATTAATGACTAAATTTGTAGAGGCCGGTATGCCACCTCACAAAAGCATCCATGGAAACTCTCGGTGGCATCACAAACATCAGGTCCTCCAGAATGCTCAGTACGGTTGTGGAGGAAGTCTGGCGGTCCCTTTCTGAGCCACTGAGAGGCTTTGCTAGGAAACGTGCTGGCCAATGGAAGGATGACAGTGTGTACATTTTTCTCTCTCTGAGTGTCTGTCCTGCTGCTGAGGAGTGGTGAGAGGAGAGTGGACTTATTCTCTCCATGAAAACACCAGTGCTGGGTAGCTTCAGATCCTGTGGGAAGAAGCAGCTGTACTTCAGTTGTGTGAAGGTGCTGAACCTTCGCTCTCTGGCTGGAGTCAAGGAGTCGAGATGTGGATGTGGTGCAGAGCCTGAAAGGTCTGGTTGCAGCTTGTCTGAGAGTAGAGCACGCTTTCTACACACTGACTAGTAATCTGGAGCCTTTCAGGGCTCTGTGGGGGATCAGACATGTTTTATGTTCACTAGAGGAAGATGGTTCACTGGTTCTTAACTTTTACCTTATTATTGTGTGTGTATGTGTGTGTGTAGTAATCATGGTAGATGATTTATTATGATGATGGTTTTCTAATGTGACGTAAATAAAAGAAATCAAAGTCCCTAAAGTCTGTCTGTCTGTTTTCTGACTTTCTCAGTCTGTTTACCTTAGCAGGTGATCATTAGACTTTTAAAGGATGCTTTTATCCCAACTAATAGTCAGGGATACAGAGAATGTTTGTGTCTGTGAGAGGGAATTAAAACTGCCATTGTGATAAATTACACCACTCACTTCCTCCTTCCCCCCTCTCCATTTTTCATTTCTTCTAATCCAAACCCTCACTGTTCTTTCTTTCCCACCTCTCATTGACCTCCCTCCAGTCTTTCCCTCCATCTTGTAACCACCAACTCCATCTTTCATGTCTTCCATCCCCCTCTCCTCTTACCTTCCCCTTCTACTCCTCTCTGCCGATATTTGCATCCTTCTATCTCGCCTTTCTCTCAAATCAAATCTGATGAGCTTTACTGGGGTGAATGTTGATGTTACGTTATTGTCGGTATTACATTTCAATGTGGTGAAATATGAATTATGGACGTATGATGCTAGCTTTCTGAAGGAAGGCTTCTTGAAGGTCAGTATATTTTGTGCTCTCATTGTAAACCCCTGTCTGTTAGCCATGTTTGTCATTGCTACCTGTTTCCAAGGTCAGGCTGTGGTCTGAATCAACTTTTAATCAGCTATAGTGGTGCGATACAGGATTAATGTATTAGCTAATTTTAAGACCAAAAATGATTTGGGTTCAAATGTTTGTCTTCTCCTCTCTCTACAGTAAGTACCAGTCAGTGAACATCAGCACCAACCTGTATGTGATCAGCCAGCCGTGGCTCTACACTCTGGCCTGGTGTGCCGGAGCTCAGTCCGTAACCACCAACTCCATCCACATCCTGTCCAACATCAAAAGCCGCTTTACCTCATGGTAAGCAAATTAAACTACATTATCAGATGTTATGATGCCTGCTGTCCTGAATACGGTTCACATCGTATTTCTTACAGGTTAGTTTGGATGCATGGAGCTCGATCTGTTATCTTAGCATGCAGTACATTTTCACATTGTTGCACCATAGTTATTTTTTCCTTGGACATGTCCTAGCTGTTATTAGATTATATATGTATAACAGGGGAAATATAAACACATTTTTTTAAAATCATGGAGTACAGTACGTGTGCTGAGGTCACTAGTTGGTCTAGGCTGCATGGTAAGACAAACGGAAGCGAAGAAAAAGACAAGAAAATAATCATCCAAAGAGCTACTACAGTGACTTAGTATTGTACTTCATGATGATTGGGGATCCCCAAGAGAGAGTATTGTAATGTAACTACCTAATATATGTCATAACCCTCATATCACGAGGGTTATTTTTTCTTTGGAAAAGCTCCCTACAGAGGCACAGAAGACATTATAAGAAGACATAACTGACAAACTGATTGATGGAGTGTCCCTTTGAACAATAAGTCTGCTAAAGAGAGCTTCTGTTGTACTTGCCTGCCTGCACTCATTGCCCACATAGTTTTTACACTTGTGTGGCTAAGACTCATGAGACACATTGAACTTGTTAGCATTCATTTTAGAATATGAAAATGTTGTTGCAGCTTTTTAAAAAGACACTTTATAAGAAAATACATTTATAAGACAATACACAAGCTAGTATTGCCACATTAGCTAGCCTACCAAAATGTTGAGGTACTCTGCATCTGTTTGACTTTATGTTTGTGCTCCTTAGCAGATGGCCAGATTTGTCCAGGTTGTTTTTTTTATGTCTCCATGAAATAGTAAAATGTTCCAACAAATCCTTCTACAGGCAGGGCAGCTGTGTTTATATAACAGATTTTATACACAGAGGCCATTTAAAGTTGAGAATGCGTTAGAGCAACATTAACAAACAACATTACGGAATTAATTTAAATATGTCAAATTTATTTTGGCCTGAGGTGAGTTATAAACCAGCAGCTACAATTTCAAATCTATTGCTCTGCCTTTAACTTCTCACAGACTTAAAGCTAGAGTGCGGGACTTTTACATATGAACGTCCATTAGATTCGAGCCCTTGTCAAACGATGCTGATTAATACTATCACCATCATGTCAATCTCTCTGTATTTGTAGTATAGCAAAGATTTTAAATCTGGTGTCCGTGGCGACATTTGCACATTAGTGAATCAGTAGTTATGTGTTTTATCCCAACCAGCAATGATGTTCCACACTGAATGTTTAGGAGTTTCTTCTAATTCGACAACTTAGGAACTTTTAGCCTATAGGATGTTTTGGGACTATGGCTCCAGACTTTGTACGTTAATATTTTAGGTTGGAGCAGCACAATTAATCTAATTGCAATGTCGTCATGTGCGATTATATAACCGCAAAACTGCTGCAGTCTGCTCATTATCTCCCCCCACATTGGGCTCTCACATGTGCCCCTAAAAACTTATAAGCCTACCTGCAATGAGAAAAATTATTTGTGCCACTAACTTTTAAGACAACAACCTACCATAACCACCCTCCCCACCGCTATTTTTTCAAAACATAGTCGGTCTCGCCACCGGAGCACCGGGAGAAATGCTGGTGAGCTAAAGCGGTAAGACAAAAGAAAACAGGGAGACGATAAAGACAGTTTGAGTTTGGCTCGCTGGCCAATTAATATTAGCTGGATCGGTGCATTAAGTTGTTCAACATGTTCAACTTTTTACAGAGCCAGTCAGTCACTTTTCATCAACCGACCAATCACAGGCTGGATGGGACGGTACATTAGAAAAAGTTTGACGTTCTAAAGCAAATAATTAAATGTTGAAGAATATGATTATTGACAAGTTAGTAGGCTACTTAGCATTAACAAATTAGAGACCAATGTAGAGCCTTTTGCTTGCACAAGGATTAAATAAATAAAAAACAACCCACAGAAATGAAACAGCTGTAACTGGATTTAATATTCGACTAGTGGTTATTATAATGAATGTTGTTTATTATTGTTGTACTAACAGTGTACTATTCACTAAACATTATACTCTTTATTTAATACACATGTGCAGTTCCTCCTCCAGGTTGTGGATAGAGACTCTGCATTAGACAGATGGACATTGAGCCGGTGCCAGTGTGCCAATATGTGCTGCTTCTAGCTACCTCCTCTGTAGAACAACGCGCTCCCCTTGTTCTGTTTTACTTGTTATTGTTATAAATATGGTTTAACTTTGTTCAAATTAAGAAATACACATTTCAAAATTTTAGTATTTCGCACATTCCTTGATATAAGCAAGTAGACTCAGTACCATTTGTTCCATTAAAATCGAACTGCAATATTGTCCACAATAATCGCAATATGACTTTTTCTCCAAATTGTGCAGCCCTAATTTTAGACATCTGGAATTTGCTCTTATCCACAGTTAGTTTCAATGAGTGAGTAGGGAGGAGGTTTGAAAATCTCTTCAGCAGGTATCATGAGTGTTTGAAGATTGAGCCTGTGACCTTTTGGTTACATAAACAGAGCAGCCAAATATAAACTACGAGCTGCAATAAGGAGAGCAAAGCGCAGTTAAGAAACAAAACTGGAGCAACAATTCTCATCAAGCAGCTCAAGATCAATATGGAAACATCTGAAGGACATGACAGATTACAAAAAAATCCAGAAAAATTAAATAACTTATGCAAGGTTTGAAAAACCAAACTCACCAGCCACCCCCCCCCGACCCCATTCCAACACCTTCTTCAGCATCCAGGAGGACGAAGTGAGAGCTACATTTAAGAAGCTTAACATCAGGAAAGCAGCATTGCCGGATGGGATCAGTCCTGCTTTACTTAGACATTGTGCAGCTCAATTGGAGCCAGTATTTTCCACCATATTTAACACCTCAATAAGCCAATTTACAGTCACACAGTGTTTTAAATGCTCCTCCATCATTCCTGTGCTCCTCAAAGATCACCTGCCTCAATGACGTCAGACCAGTTGCCCTAACACCTGTGGTTATGAAAGCATTTGAATGAATTATTCTGGCATACCTGAAATCCTGCACTACCTCTCTGATGGACCCGGATCAATTTGCCTACCAAGCCAGTTGAGGATGCAGTCAGCATAGCACGCCACCATATCCTGCAACACCTGGAATCACCAAACACCTACACACACACACACCCTTTTTATTGACTTTAGTTCCGCCTTTAATAGTATTAACCCATTTAAACTCTTTACTACACTCTTGGACATGAACATTGATCCAGCCATATGCCACTGGATAAGGAGCTTCCTGTGGAATAGATCACAGAGGGTGAAGGTTAATAACATAACCTCACACTCTCTCACCCTGAGTACAGGAGCTCCTCAGGGTTGTGTTCTCTCCCCTTGGCTCTTCTCCCCGTACACCGCCCACTTTTACATTCAGTGAGAACAAAAGTATTGTGGACGACACAACCATTGTAGTCCTCATCTCAGACAACGATGAAACCCAGTATCGCGTGGAGGCGGACCAAGCTGTCACTTGGTGTTCGAACAATGACCTCCAGCTCAAACCAGCCCAGGAACTCATTATTGACTTTAGACGTAGGCCATTTCCCAAAACACCCATACAAATAAACGGCAACCCACCGACTCCTTTTTTTTTAATTCCTTGGAAGACACATTAGCAATAATTTGAAGTGCACAACTAACACCGAACACATCATTGCAAAAGCTCAACAAGGACTTTACTTCCTCAGGCAGCTTAAAAAATACCGGATCAAGCATCAACTCTTTGTTCTGTCTACTCCGCTATCATCAAGTCCATCATTACATCATCGATCACAGTATGGTGTGGTAGCAACGACCGTCAAACAAAGGAAAAACTACAGCGGACTGTCAACAAAGCATCCAACATTGTAGGAAAACCATTGCCCTCAGTTGATTCCCTCTATACACATCGGACTGCAAAGCGAGCAAAGAAAATCATCTCCGACCCCTCACATCCTGCTCACCACCTCTTCCAGCTCCTTCCCTCAAGGAGACGCTACAGGTCACTTTCTACCAAGACCAAACTCTTCACAAATAGCTTTTTTCCCATAGCCATCAGGACTCTGAACTCCTCCCTTTAGTTTAGTTGCCTTCTCGCACCCTATGTAAGAAGGCAACTGTATGGTCATGTGTGTGGTCATTTACCCACTGTTTTTATTTGTTGTTGTATTGTTACATGTTTGTCTATTTGTTGTCTGTAATGCATGTACGTGATGTAGAGCTTAAACATACTGTACCAAAAACAAATTGTCACCACCTACATATCTTTCTAATTTCAAATGAGTTGGATTAAGTTTTTAACATGAGCATTCAAGTCCAAGTCTTTAGGGGCACTAAATTAAATAATGATATTCATGTTCACAATTTTTTTTTTCAGCAAATGTAATCAACTCTTTCCTTCTCTGCCTCTCTCCAGACTCCAGAGGAATATAGTTTAATGTGGATTCTGACTGATGCCGTGTCTGCCTGCCTCATCATTGCAGTTTTCTTATTCCATTGGTGCGTAGAGACACACACACACACACACACACACACACACACACACACACACACACACACACACACACACACACACTCTGCGGTCATAATGATCCCTCCCCTGCTAATTGCAACGTCTGGTGTTGGGGTGGTGAAGCAGTGCAGGGCTGAGTCATCCTGGCTGCTGATAAGGTTTTATTATTAATATGTAATCTGAGATGTGGCCATATGATGTGAAGACAGGAAGCACAAAGGTGTTTTTGATCCCGTAATTATATGGAGAGAGTGTGTGTGTGTGTGTGTGTGTGAATGAAAGATAACTATAGAGATGAAAAAGAGACAAGAAAACACAAACCTCAGAGGATATGCTGATTTATTTTTCAACCTGTTACTTATTAGTATGGGCGATCATTTATATCAGTTACTGTGGATAGAAAAAGTCTGCACACCCCTGTTAAAATGCCAGGTTCATATGATGTAAAATAATGAGACAAAGATAAATCATGTCAGAACGTTTTCCACCTTTAATGTGACCTATAATGTGAACAATTCAATTGAAAAACAAACTGAAATGTTCGAGGGGAAAAAATGAAAAATAAAACCCCTCAAATAACCTGGTTGCATAAGTGTGCACACCCTCTTATAACTGGGGATGTGGCTGTGTTCAGAATTAAACAATCACATTCAAACTCAGGTTAACTAGAAGACATTACACACCTGCCATTACACTCACCATCATTTAAAGTGACTGATTAATCACAAATAAAGTTCAGCTGTTCTAGTAGGATTTTCCTGATATTTTCTTAGTTGCATCTCCGAGCAAAGGCCACGGTCCGCAGAGAGCTTTCAAAGCATCAGAGAGATCTCATTGTTGAAAGACATAAGTCAGGAGACAGGGTACAAAAGAATTTCCAAAGCATTAGATATACCATGGAACACAGTGAAGACAGTCATCATCAAGTGGAGAAAATATGGCACAACTGTGACTTTACCAAGAACTGGACGTCCCTAAAAAACATGTGACATGTGACAACTATCTCCTGTATTCTTCATATGAATGGGCTATGGGGTAGGGTGGCAAGACAGAAGCCTTTTCTTACAAAGAAAAACATCCAAGCACGGCTGAAGTTTGCAAAAACAAACATCAAGTCCCCCAAAAGCATGTGGGAAAATGTGTTATGGTCTGATGAAACCAGGGTAGAACTGTTTGGCCATAATTCCAAAGGGTATGTTTGGTGCAAAAACAACACTGCACATCACCCAAGGAACAGCATAGCCACATGAAGCATGGTGGTGGCAGCATCATGCTTTGGGGCCGTTTTTCTTCAGCTGGAACCGGGGCCTTAGTCAGGGTGGAGGGAATTATGAACAGTTCCAAAAAAGAGGCTATTTTGGCACAAAACTTTCAGGCGTCGGTTAGAAAGATGAAGAGGAAGTTCACCTTTCAGCACGACAACGACCCAAAGTACACATCCAAATCCACAAAAGCATGGCTTCACCAGAAGAAGATTAATGTTTTGGAAAGGCCCAGCCAGAGCCCAGACCTGAATCCAATTGAACATCTGTGCGGTGATCTGAAGAGGGCTGTGCACAGGCCATGTCCTCGTAATCTGACAGATTTGGAGCGCTTTTGCAAAGAAGATGCGCCATGCTAATAGACTCCTACCCAAAACGACTGACTGCTGTAATAAAATCAAAAGGCGCTTCAACAAAGGATTAGTGTAAGGGTGTGCACACTTACGCAACCAGGTTATTTGAGGTGGAAAACGTTCTGACATGATTTATCTTTGTCTCATTATTTTACATCATAAGAACCTGGCATTTTAACAGGGGTGTGTAGACTTTTTCTATCCACTGTATAACATTTGTCTTGCCTAATTGCAGACTGTGGCACCACTAGACACCTTTGGGTTGGAGTCTATCACACACAAGTGAACACACCCACCCATTATTGTAGTCAGAAATATAGGAAATAAAGGTGTGAATTATTTTGTTTAAACAATGTTTCTTATTAATTGTTGGTTAAGTCAACACATTGGGAATTCTTGTCAACAGCTGTCTCAGTGTGATAATTTGAAATAAAAATCACAATTCGCTTCATAATCATGAATGCCTTCTAGGACAGAATGTGCTCTAATAACTCTATAATAAAAAGATAATTGTGTCTCGCCTCGCTCTTTGACGGCTGGTTTTTCACAACAACAAACACTTTTGCTTCCTGACATGGTCGGCCGATTCGTTGTACAAACTAGTTCCCTTTGAGCATAACCTGGCCCTTAGAGTGAGGATATAAAAAGAGTGAGAGTGTGAATGTCAGTGAGATTCATCCCTTCCTGTTAGCCAGATGAGGCTCTTCACTACAAAGAGCTGGATATATCTTTCATCGTCACTCCCTCTCTTCTCCCTTTTAATCCTGGGCTTTATTCAACACTCACCTGGACCAGACACACATGCACACATGCATGCTCGGTGTACACATCAAAGCAGTTACTGTGGCAGTCTCAAAGCACTTTGGTAAACAAATAAACACACCTGGTTATTCTCTGATCTCTCTCTTTGGTGTGTGTTACAGGTGGAGAGAGAGAGGCCTGCCCTTCTGGTCTGGCAGCCGTCAGACTCACGAGAACGGACCTTACAGCAAGTTCAGGACGGGTATGAGAAAATGTTTTTGCTCTTCACTCTTTGTTGTTTCTACACTGTCGTTCTGGATCTTTGTCTGAGACTAATATTAGATAATTAACCCATGCACACAAAAAACGTTCACCCACCGTCTGTTCCATCCTCACATCCAAAGTCTCAAAAGTCAACTTTGTGGGCAAGCGAGTGCTGAGTAGTTGCAGGCCCTGTGCTCACAAGACTATGGGGACTTACAGAGTGTCTTGACCATGGAACATTTTGGGAAATACTCTTGTTTGCCGTCTTCCTGAGGAAAAATGATACATCAATTTCATCTCTGTAGATTAGTACAGAGTTAGAGCATGGCTTTAAACAGAAAATCACTTATCAACAGGTTTTAAGTCTTGATTACATGTTGTAACTCATTACAGCAAGCTAGCCACCAACACATCTAGGAATCACCAGTTTGCTTCAAAGCTGGAAACTTCACTGTGAGGACTGTACTTTTTACTGTTTTTGCTGAACACACATTGATATTGACCTTAGCAAACAATCATACTTTCCAGTATTCATTTAAATGTAGCTTTGCTCAAGTTGTTGCTTGTCTTTGCATGCAGTCCTCTCCTGTGTGTTGTATGTGTCAGACTCTTCAGAAGTCATCTGTATTCGCTGGAGCACCCTCCACTCTGAACCCCCTGCTGGAGCCCTCGTCTCCCTCCCCTTGGTCTTCAACCCATGAACCCCTGCATGTCAGCCCTGCATGTCAGCCCTGCATGTCAGCCCTGCATGTCAGCCCTGCATGTCAGCCCTGCATGTCAGCCCTGCATGTCAGCCCTGCATGTCAGCCCTGCATGTCAGCCCTTCAGGAACCTTGTATGAACCCAGAAACCTGTTTGAACTGTACAAGCTTCTATGTTTCCTGTAGAAAAATAGCATGAAACCTATATAAAGCCCATAAAAGCATAGTAAGAGATTTGAGTGATTTAAATGACTGTGGGGATTAAACGTCCCCTAGCAAACAAGAGCAAAGCATGTCATGTACTGATGCATGTACAAATAAAGTCTAGAGGTAGACGAGTGATGAACGTCTGAAACGCTCCAGAAACACCTGCAAAAAAGCTGTTTGTGTGGGTTGCCCTTTACCTAAGCCAGGGGTCTGTAAACTATTTAGCCCCTCTCTAGTAGCTCCCTGACTTTGTCAAAACATTTAAGTGAATAACCTTTTTTATATGTACATTTTTTTATAATTGTTGTAGGCCTAAAGTCATCCTAGAAGTATTCACCTGTAAAAACATGCAGCATATACATCAAATAAAAAATGTTTTTACACACGCGCCAACTAAAATGTGCGTCATCATGCTACATCCTGGCGCTAAATCAATAGCAGTGTCTTGAATGGGTAGCCTGTTCTCCTGCGACAGCTATGGATTTATAGTATACCACCGCTACTGCTGGCTTTCCAGAATGTTTGATATACGGTAATTTTATACTTTCATAAATGCTCCAAGAAATTGCATTAGAAAGGCAAAGTTACATGAAGTAGCCAAATAATCATACATACATACATAAAAAATGAATGAATGGTCATTTAGACCTATTAGTAATGTTGATAAACTAATTTATACCAATAGGTGGTGGTAACTGCATGTAGAGGGCTTAAATATGTTTTTGTGGCTCCAAACAGTTGTTTCTGGCCCAAAGTGGCTCTTTACATTTTAGAGGATGCCGACCCCTGAATTTAGCATTGCAGCTATATTTAGAGAACATAAATCCTTTTCAGGTGTAGCTGACGTAGTAACACTGTAGCTGTACAAGCCTAAATGTACATAAAGAGCTGCAAGTGGCGTCACAGTCCACAGAAAACATAACTATAAATCAAGCACAGATGACCTCCATTAGATAACTACTATTTATAAAGCCTGGAAATAAGTCTTTAAGTACACTATACATGTCCTAAAAGTGGTGGGGACATAAGGGCTCAGATTAGGGGCGTAATGATACACTTTGGTCACGAGACGTGACGATGCACGAGAACAAGACTAGAAGATTTTTAACACTATTTTGAAGTGAAATAGGAAATTTGAAAATACATGAGGTCCTCCGCCAGTAAAGCATGAAACACTTAATTTTCTGCATTCTGGAGACATTTTCTGCTCCAATCTACGGTGGAAATGTGTTTATTTATATAAAGGAAAACACAAAATTCAGCAGGCAGGGGACAATTTATAAATATAAAAATATAACCGAATATAATGCAGTAATCAGCAGCTTGTTTTATTTTGCTTAAGTTACTTTTTTTTGGACAATGCACATTTGTTTCTTCTGTAAATTGCATGGCATGTTTTCTTTAGAACATTTTTAACAAATGCTTCCAAAAAGTGATGGGGACAAAATTTTTAAATTAATTAATTAACATTTTTTTTATCACATCTTTTCATTTATAGATGCATGGCTATCTTACACTTTTTTCAGTTTAAATTCAAAGGGGTTTTATTGGCATAGGATACAAACCTTTACGTTTTCAAAGCAAGCGTGTGTTCAGATGAGTATAAATAACTAAAAATAACTAAAAAAAATGTAGATTTGCAGTTAAACCCCCCCTATTCCCTTATGTGTTCCTCGTGCACCCTTGCTTTGAGCCCTCTCTCCTCCAGTATGGCCTCTGTATTACTGCTCCTTGACATGTGAAGGGATCCTGTTTGACCTTTGCCCCCCTTTGCAGAGCTGAGTGACGTGTGGTCCATCTCCAGCGTCAATGTCCGGCCTGACCTACGGAGCACGCCCAGTTCACCCAGTGCCCCTCACCTGCCCACCATCACCGAGGAGTGACTGAGGGAGAGAAAGAGAAAGAGAGAGAGAGGCCAGATAGGGAGGTACAGGTGATGAGAGATGGTAAAAAAAAAAAAAGGATTTGTTTAGTGAGAGAGAGAGAGCTTTGTCATGGCATCGGAAAAGTTTTTGTTGATGGCTTTCAAATTTCAACAATAAATTAAATTAGAATTACAGACATTTTAAAGCTATTATTTATAACATAGTTTAACATTAAAAAAACTAGATGTGTCATCACATTTCAGTTAAAACGTTGCTTAATTTGTGACATTGCCTTTTTTTCAACTAAGCCCTGGCGACCTAGTGAGAGGAGTGCAGAAATCATTCCAGTGAAATAACCAAACAAAACGTATTTGTCTTGGACAGAAAATTGGATCTCGTCACTCATAGTAAGAAACTGATTGAGAAAATGTGTTTTCAGGGCCTTTTAAATTAAAGAGAAAAGATAATGGAGAGAGACAGCAAACTCTCTTGTCTTTCTCCGCTTCCTCTCTCAGTCTGCGGGCCGACTGCCTGCAGGAACTGAACTGCTGAACCAAACCTCATTCACTGACCTGCCATCCGGGACGGAGCAGAGAGACTCTGGACTCGAGCCTGGAAGCACCAGTGTTTTTTTTTTTTTCTCCATACTCTCTCATAGATGCCATTCAGATGCCTGGGCGGTGAGGACACTCAAACACTAGCCCAGAGGCTGACATGCTTGATGAACATTTTCATCTTTGGTCATTCAACATCACCAGCTGATATCGACTAGATGTTAAAGAAACAAAACCTCGCACAAGAAAGAAGAATCAATATATGCTGCTGTAGTAGTACATGAGTCTCTTTCACTCATCCGCCTCGTGTTTCTAGTAAAAACCAAATGTTTGTCAAAGGAAAAGCGGCAGCGTGGAGGTGAAGCTCAGAGTGAGTGAAAGCTGATGGTGATGAAAATTGTAACTTCGGAGCAGGAGACATGTGGACGATGATAAAATGGAGAATCTTCTGTAGGAGCTATACTTTTATTTTTATTTTTTCAGCTGTACAATTATCAGGTGCATTTGACCAAACCTTAAACCATGTCTTGACCATGTGAGTTGTTGGAGGCAGTGTATGAACTGTACACTGTTGGGCTGACAGAATGAATGTAAACCTGAAGCTTGAGAAGATATTGTTAGTTACTGTTTTTGTTTTGTACTAAAGTGAATGTATTACCAAGCGGGGCCGTGTTTCTCAAAAGCATACGAGGAATGTTTTGGCTGGGAGTAATTTCAGTTTGGGTACGGATGCTAAATGTAGTATCAGCTGCTCCAAATAAAGATAAAGATGCTTTTGAGAAACCGGATCCTGTGCTCTTTTTGCAAGGCAGTGAGTACAGCATCTGCTTTTTCCTCAAATATACAAATATACGCACACAGTACCGTATGACTATATAATCTGTGGGTTACACTTTATTTGGAAAGTCTGCTACAGATGGTTAGTTGAGATTCAACTGATTCACATATTAAGCTGTTTTTTAGGTTTGGTTTAGGTACACAAAACATTTTGATTAGGGGATGATCATGAATTACCCCAAATATACTTTATTGATAATCTGTTAAACATCTAAAGGTAAAAGAAAAAACATTTGAAAACTATCTGTTGGTGGGCTATCCAAATATAAAGTGTCATCTTTGTTGTGTTGTCCTAACTCAAACTCTTAAATCCAGAGTGTCTTGTCTCAACTTTTTAGGTGTGAAATCCGTGAAGTTAGGGGCTTTGATTTTCTGAGGGGTTTTCCCAGTTTTCTGCACAGTTTTGGAGGTGAATCAGGAAGTGCTGCAGTAAGTGCCATTTAAAAAAAATAAAATAAAATTATTGTTAGGATCAATCACTCTAAGCAAAGTAAATGTGCAGGAATTTATTTAAAACAATCTTAACAATAGTTTGGATGCACATCCTCGCAGGTATCATTTGCAATGAATCAGTGCAACACAGTTTACAGTGTGTTGCTCATTACATTTAACCTGCAGTCAGAATCCATGATTTTATCCAACTAGTGTTGAAGCTCCCATTCTCAGTCATTCTTAGCTTTTTATTAATATTGGACTTTGAAATTTTGGATTCTGTTGGATTTGAGGTTACTCTGTCTTTGTCTTTGTGTGTCCTGCACCGTTGAACTTACACAGGCCTGGTTATGGTCTGTCTGGCCAAGGTGATGCTGAAACTTGTCTTAAGACAGATGTTTGGCTGCAATCAGAAGTTTCCAGTCTTAAAAAAAACTTCAAGGCAACACAAGACGAACGAATGAGAAGAATGAAGAATGAGTTTGTGTAAGTCCTGAAGTCAGAAATGACTGAATGAAACGAGGCTAAAATTATGTAGATCTAAAGTTTAGACATTACAGTGCAGTCACATCACCGTCTAAGACCAAGCAACTTAATGTACTGTATTGTATTGTGATATGAATAAGTGGTTAGCACTTAGTTTAATTGTATTTGTGTTCCTGTTGAGAATATAGTAGCTGATCTGTTGGGTAGGCTAAGCATTTTAGCTGCAGTTATCAATCACTGCACAGCCATATTTATTATATTGAATTTGATGTTTCCCACCATAAGACCGTTCATTTTAAGCGAGCGAGTCTGGTGACAATGCGGCATTGCATTGTATTTGCTTTAGAGATGCATTGCATTTTGAGCCTTGCATGTAAGGGATTTATTCGCCTTTTGTTTTATAGATGCTTTCTTAAAGTGAAATTTGCCCCAATGTTGTATCATACTCAGAGCTCATGTAGACTGTGTCTTTAGGCAGATATTCAAGTGGTTTCCAGTTTAAAACAATATCCTAACATCCATAGAAGCATCTGTTGTTCACGAAAGGGCAGCTCTCCAGAGGTCACAAACACAGCAAGCTGTGATGAAAACAGAATGATTGTAGATAAAATCAGGCAACACATGAGGTGATTCTGTTGCAGTTTTTGACCTTTGCAGTGTTGCCTTTTTTCCTCACTTCAATTTTGGGAAATACAGACATTGCTGTTTTTTGAAAGGCAGTTCAGAAGTTCAGAGCTGGAGTTGTGTGTCTGGCATGAGGTTTAACCTCAAGCTGTTTTAAAAAAATAAATAAATTAAATCTCTATATTTAAGGCAAATATCCAGTTAAGTTATGGCTGCATTAAACTGTTCACATGCAGGCGACTCGTGCATGCTGCTCTGCACGTTATTTCAGTAAAGAAAACGCAAGGAAACTTTAAATTAGTGCGACCAAACCATAAAGAAGGACAATCAGTGAATCAGAGGAAAGAGATGTCAATTACACCAGAGACACATTGTCAGGCTGTTTGTATATAAACTCTGGAGGCAAACCGCTTCTCATCATTTAATGACAGCCACCTTCATTCCAGACTGGTGAACAAAATTACTTGAAAGGCTTTTCTTGGTTGCAGGGCTGTTCATTCATCATCAGTATATAATATACCTGCTTTGCTGTCTTGATGCCTGCAAGAGTCCGGTGTAGATCAAAATGTGTTTTTTACAGGGTATGTTTGAGGTAAATTCCCATGTTATGGAATTATTATCATAATTCACTTCACTGAAGTTCTCCATAATCAAAGATGTGTGTTAGATTTGGCTCCATCAGTGGTGTGATTCAAAATTCATGGCCTTTCCCTGCCTGGAAGCTGTGGTCCTGTTCAACGCCTGGAAGTGTGGACATAAAACATTGGATCTCTGAAAGTCAGATCTGAATTAGGAACACACACAGAAATGTTGAGTGGAAGCAAAGTGTCAACATCTCTTAAAGTGTATAAATGCTCAACATTGTCTTTGACTAATAGCTGCAGTACTTGCTGAGAAACGTAACCTAAGATATGGAATAATATTATAATGTGGGTGTAATAGTCCATTCTTTCAAATGGTTAAGTCTCTGTAGCATTTTACATCTTGTGCTGTACTGAACAGCTATTTTTATTTTATTTTATTTTATAGAAGCATTCTCAACTTTTGGTTTCTTTTTTTTTTACTGTAACTTCTCTGATTGTAAATGCTACTGTCATCTGGTATTAAAACATTAGACAAAAGGTTTGGTTGTTGGTAGCACTGTCTGTGGTGGTTCTCCATCACATTTTTCATTTTCTTCTTCTCTCTTCAAAAGAACAAAAGAAGTTATTCAAGTGATATTATTCTGCAAAAGCATGTGATACTAGTACTAGACTAGACTGCTAGAAACAATTCATCAGATGAAAATAAAGGTGGGAATGGAAAAAAAGAAGGAAATTGACTAAAATGAACAATCAAACTGGAGCAGGAGAGAAATTCTGCTGCTGGTAGACGAGTCTGTGTATGGTTAAAGAGCTAAAGAAATGCACTTATGTACATCTGGGACATCAGATAATAAGAACTTATTACAGTGCTGACATAATTACCTACGGTATGTAAAGTGATTGCTTATCAAATATAAATGTTACTCATGTTTGCACCGCTAATAAATGCTAAGAAAGAAAGAGAAGGTTAATGTATGTAGGTTAATACATGTTTATGTATGCTGTCCTCCCATCAGCTCTTTAAAAATCTCACAAATTACTGTAAATAGTTTGTTTTTTTCCTTTATCTAAATGTTATCTTTACTTCCTGGTTCAGACGCCGTTTGGTCACAGATGGGGAACCCTGCTCCACCTGGTCGTCTTGGGTTTGTTGCATCTGTAACTCATGCCTCTCTATCTGCTGCAGTGGTACACACACACACACACTGCAGATCCTGTCATTTTTGGGGTTGTTGAGTTCATCTGTGTATTGATATTCGGGTTACTGATACACAAACTTGTTGAACTTGGTGAAGCTGCTCTGGTGGTGTTGGGGGCTCATCCTGGTTACATGTACAGTTTGTGGCTGTGAGATTCCTTTGATACCTTTTACACTTTGTGCCATGCTTGTGTGTTGCACAAGGCTTTGATGTTTCCACAGCCATCAATGGTTTTATTTACATTTAATTGAAGTACCCATACTGACCTTGAAAAATCACTGGTGATTTTTACTTATTTGATGTTTTCTAAACTTTATATGCTTTGCACCACACATAACATGTCTCACTACATATAGATATTATTTTGCAAGTAGGAGTAAAACATTTTACATTTAAAAAGGACCCCTTAACCAGGATTCAATAAGAGCCTAAATCAAAGCGCAAATTTAGAATCACTAACCTAGAAACACCCGATCCTTGTAGACCTTTTCACTGCAGCCAGAACATTTTGCCAGTGACACAACTGTTCTATAATGTATAACAATTACAATGCCACTTCCAATATTATATTACAGTTAAAAGCATAAGACAAAGCTAACTGGTAAATATACCAGTGAACAAACATTTTGCATTAGCAACATTATTATTACAAATAGTCCATACATTAGTGTCCCAATTATGTTAAATAAATTGAACATAAGGTATTTATTACAATCAAGTCAAAACATGTTTATTGAATATTTTTTTACAAAAGTGAGAGCACTCATTACAGACCATGAAAATACTTCAGGAAGTCGAGATTTGAATTACACAGTCAGACAAAACATAAACTTCCACATAAAATGCGACACCACAAGAAAAAAAAAAGAAAGTTTGCATTAGTCCACAAAGAAAAACACCACAATGAACAACATAATTGTATCAAATGGAACGATTGGCACGGTTTAAAAATACCAGTGTATTTGTTCATCATACTAACAAAACAAAACCAGTGCAGGTTAATGGATGAAGGGTTTGTCAGTTTCACAAAAACTAAGACAGAATTTGATTAATTCACATCAAATCTGTGCCACAAATCCTTAAACATACAATTTTAAAACAACCTTTATTTTCTTCAAAGCCAAACATAACACTTCATTTGCTCATGGACCCACCTTCTTTCACACATCAGGGCTTCTGGTTCAGCAAAAATCTGATCTGTGCCACTACAGGGGGAAAAAAAACAGCTGGTTGCCTGTTTTTAACTAGTAAGGCCACTGGTGGATGGAGAGCCACTGGGTGAGTGTACTTCAAATATTCCAAATGTTTATCTGGTTTTACAGCAGATGTTCTCTCATCTGGGAAAACAACATACCTTGCCATGTCAGCGTCTTTATTGTTTAATTAAAGGTCAGTTTTGTGTGAAACCTCAAAGTTTAAACAAAATTTTATATACAGAAGTTGTCAGAAATGTGTGAAGAATGATCCTGAACTTTGATTTAACAGTAAAACAAACATTTCTTTTGTAAAAAATATCACTTGAGTAAAAGAATAAGAGTAAAATTATGTAATTTCAAGGGGTTTTGCTCACTTAAAACTAACATTTTACTCTCTACACTCTGCAGCTGTTCATAGTCAGGATCCAGAACAATGTATTTGAGGAATTCTTAACATTTCTCATGAACTACTGCATGTTTTGACTTTCTTTGAATATTATGTGTATTTTCATGCATGTGAATACATTTTTGTTTGTATTAATTTGGTAACACTTCAGCATTAAAATTCTTGGTAAACAGGACAATTTTAGGCAACTGTACTGAAAAAAGTGTAGATTCTGAATCTAGAGTTCATTTATTATCTCGGTTATAAATGCAGTTTGTAGCCTCAAGTCCGCATATATTAAGACATATTACATTTTTAACAGTAAAAAAAAAACCTGACTGCTGAGCGTGACAAATGAGCAAACTCCTTCCACTGATGAAGACCGGGAGATGCAACTAAAATGCCCAGGAAAAGCTTGTAACAGGAGCTTGAGTTATTTGGGATTGTTACAAAAGCCCCTTAACTGCAGCTGCCCATGAATGCTGGGTAATGCAGTCTCAACAAAAAAAGAGAAACAGTTAAGATATGAAATGGAAAAAAAAATGCTGATAATGATCTACAACATTTAACGAGGTGTAAACACAAACTATGAATTAAGTATTAAAAAAAACAAACTCCCATATTAAATAGTTACATAAATAGCGAACCTGAACACATTACAGCTCTGTCTCCAGTGTGTCACACATCACGTTACTAAAGTTTTAAATAAAGGGTCTCAGGTCCCGTGAGGCCACGTTGTTTTGATTTAAGGCCAGAGAAATAGATAAATGTTTTTCTAAACAAGGTGAAAAGGTTAACGCCGCTCTGGTCAAGAAGAAGAAAACAAAAACAGAAAACTTAACTGTTTCTGACCTTGTTTTCTGCAAGAAAAATACTGTCTCTAAGAAAGACTAAACGCAACAACTAACGTGCTTTATCAGTACTTAAAGATGTTCTAGATAAATAAAGGGACAAGACTAAATGTCTATAGCTTCACTAAAGCTCCTGTGATGCTCTAATGCACTAAACTAACAAGGATGAATGGATGTTCTTTATCATTGGTGAGACAAAAACCATCTAGCTTGAGACTGGTGCCACAGGGATGGACGTGCTGACCCTCTGAGCTCCAAAGGCCCTTTGGGTGAGACTCAGTTCAACGTCTTTATGGTAATGTGGTGAACTTGTATGTTAACTCTTGTAGGTTAACCATACTTTCCTCAGTGCAAATTAAAAGTTAGACTTTTTTTAAACACATAGAATGACATTTAATAATTTTTCACCATCATACCGGTCAAAGGAAGAAGGAACCAGTAAGGACAATAAAGCGTATGTGAAAGTGCATTTATATCACGTTTTCCAATAATTGCTTAATCAATTAATTAAGACAAACTACATAAAATGTATGGTTTGATTGCCCATTACGAGTCGATAAGCCTCCTGGGTACTGTAACCCACTGTCCACCAGTCTCACTCTTGTAGTTTATAAACACGACATATCAGATGACAGCCCGCAAAAAAGTTAAACTATTTTTAGGTAGCAAAGTCCTTAAATGTTCATAATTCAAGCAGTGAACTCCTGCTGCCACTGGGGGTCACTGCAACATTCACTTAAGGCTGAGATCTTTTAACTGGAGCAGTGTCCTCAGTTCAAACTCATTGAGCCAGTAAGGTTAAGCAGCACTGAATTAACACTGTATTTCTGTACAAGCTGGTCTGACTGAATCCTGAACTGAGAGAGACCGACCTGTTAAGACAGAGCGTTTGGAGGTGTTAGAGGTAGTCGTCTTCACTGGACGGCTCGTCGTCATAGTAGTTGTAGCGGTAATAGTTGCTGGGGCCTTCGCCAGGGTCGTCGCTGCTAGCAGCCGAACTGTCCCCGGTGAGTTTTGACCCTTCCGAGCTAACAGAAGGACTGCGGCTCATCCTCCACAGCTGGTGTGCAAAGGTCCGCCCCCAGCTGCAGTGCTGTCCAATGGGACGCAAGAGCCGAACGAGCTCAGCGGCCTCCTGCCAGTAAGAAGTTCACTTGCTGAGGCCCCGCCCGGAGCGGTGCTTGTTCATGGTGGTCAACATCTGACTGATGTAGGAGGTCAGCAGGTCATCCATCTTGTAGCCCTGCAGGTGTAATTGATATCTTCACTTTGATGATGTGACTTTTATTTGCCTGTTTTTGATGATAGTTGCATAATTTGTCAACAGAAGTGTGCTCATTTTAGAACTGCAACTATAACATGATTTTTTAAATTTCATAAATGAATGTCTTTAGTACATTCATACATCAGTCACATCGTGCTGACCACTCTGCCGCTCAGAGTTTGTTTTTATTCACTAATATACAGTCTTTCAGCTTTTCTTGACCGATGTTAAACCACCTCAAAGAAAACCTCCTGGAGATCTCTGGTCGGCGTTTAACATAACAAATCAATGGGAAGTCTTTCAATGGTGTAACTTAAATCTAGAAAAATTGCAAAGTAGAAGCAAGTATTTCTATAAAAACAAATGTTTTACCCGGCCTTTATTTGTTCAAACTGGCTGCACCACCGGGGCTGCTTTCATTTAAGAAGTTACAGTATCACCTTTAGTTGTTCAGCTTTTTCTGTTTGATTTACGTGTGTGTGTGTTTCTGCCACCCACCAGCGATGTCTCACACAGCAGTTTGCTTCCTCTGACCAGGTTGCCGATGGTGATGTGGAAGTAGGTGTTCCCACTGCTCCAGTTGGAGATCTTAGTGAAAGGGTGGGTGGTCAGGATGTCCTGCATAAATACACACAGGGGTAA